CCAAGATGTCTCCAGAGTTTATTTTGGCTGATACATGAATAAAATACGGCAAATCGAGTTCGTCAGATGATATATGGTGAGGTTGTTCGCAACAGCTGCAAAGTGATGTGCTGTGCAAGCGTTAGTGGGGAGGAAGAGCGATTGCATGTCGCGCTGTTCTGCATCAGAATCAGTGGATCCACGAGCAACTGTGTTTCGCGGTCTTCTGTAAAGTCGGGCGGCAGCAAAGCAACCGAGTTCTGAAGAAAAGAATGTGGCTCATATTTGACATAATGGGATGGTATTGATAGACAGCTTTACCGTGTGACAGACCCACCATACGGGGCAGTAAAGATCCGCGTTGTGGTGGCGAGAAAAATATTAAGTTAGTAAATAAAGTGATCGGGATAGTCTGGGGAATTAAAAGTCTTCAGCATGAGAAATTGTTCCTCTGGGTAATTTGTAAAACGGTGAAGCCACCAAAAGTACGGTTGAAATTGAAAAAAGAGCTGGTCTTTTCTTTCTTCATTAATTTAACATTGTAAACACTCGCATGGCCTTCCGTTCGACGAGGGGGTTGGTTATTGATGAGGATGCTGTAATTTTTGTCTAAAGGAATATCACAACGTGGTGACAGAAGACATACCACTCGTTCTGACGGGATGCGATTTGTGTCGACTTGGTTTCCGGAACCAAAACACTGTGTCACACACCATCGACTTTGCCAAGGGACGGTGTGTCCCCATATTGATGCGAGAGAGAAACGATGGGGCTCTATGTGTTGGGAAGGTAACGGCAAGTGGCACATTACGTGCTTAACGTGAGCTAGTCGTATCCATTGTTCCAGCGCAAACGTCAATCCCATGCTAGAGAGCTACCTGATTGGTCGCACTATGTTCGGTCTTCTTAACCTAGTTGATGTCGCTATCGAGTGCTCATGAGAGACATCGATGTTTTTGCAGTGTAAAATCCAAGCGGGATGCTCTGGGGTTAACTGTTTATGCCATGTGGACTGTCGAACTCACCAGCGGAACTGAAATATATTGTCACGCAGGTGTTCAGGATGTATTGCACCATGAACAACCCGTTTTGGGTACGATACGCTCATAGTTCTTAAAGAATCGAACATTAGATGCGAAGAAACATCCAACAGTAGTGAGTAGTGTTCGAGTGTATGCGCTTTAGCAAGATTTGAAATGACTTTGATGCTGACAAAACCCTCTTTCATGATGACTTGAATGAGTAACATAGCCTGCGAAAAGAATTCGCAAAGACCAAGGTCATCGAAGATCGGCCAGTATTTCTGTTTTAAAAAAATTAGGAATTGTCTTGACCTGGCCAACTGCTTGAACAAGGATGGTGCAGTTTATGTACTGCCACGGACCAATTTGTAAGAAAAGATGTCAATCCTGCTGGTACACGGCAGATGAGGCGGTCTTCTAGACTGTGGAAGAAAGTTTCAGGCAACCTCAATTCTGGCTTTTTCAGGTCTGAATCGATCATTTCAGGTTGTCCGTGGCAGTTCAGTCTTTGACATGGGATATCATTTACTTCAAGCAGATACCAATGGATATGAACGCATCATCGCATTCTAGTCTTATCGTGTTTAGGTATCTAAGCAGAACTACCTATCTCACGAGAAGAAATTACATGCAATGAAGTTTGCTTTCATTTATTGTGTACACGTTTGATCTACACAGATCATGCCGTTGCGCACAGCAATGTCGTCGCCGGCGAACGGCAAGATGGCTGCTCTTATTGGCCAAATAGAATATATCGGTCGGAAAGATGTGTGTGGTGACAATCGCGCTTTTGCGTCACCCCAGCTATGAAACATCGCATCTCACAGTGGTGATGTAGCCAATCGATAAGGTGATACGTAGAGCGTACGAGTCCACCGAAACATGTGTTATGCTGAAAAAGCGCTGGGAAGCAAGAAGTTGAGATCAGATACCGCTCTGTCGCTGCACCGCCATTCCTTATCATTAGGCTTGCTTCAATTTAGCACTGACCTACATGCCACTTAGCATGTGTTGGTCCCTCATGAGATACAGAATACTATACGACGCACATGTTTTCCCTTGGATGGCCACCTTGGAAGGAAAATGGCATACTGCTCACTCTGCGCAATATACTTCTGGACCAAAATATATGAGTTTAGTAAGCACGTTTGTGCGCACATGCAATTGGTGCGCAAGGGTTAGAGCAAAACAGACGCCTCAATAACAACTAGAGGCGTCATTCGATGTTTGAGGTTAGGGCTAGGGATAACCCACTCAAGCCTCCTTTTGGAGAACACCTCAGGCTCCACACCAACAATTATTTTAAGATCTTCGGCCATAAGAACAGCGCCTTTGTCAGGGTCATGCTAAGCCATTTGGATAGGTACGGGAGTGGACATCCGATGCGATTATGCTATCAGGAATCGGCACTGTATGTTGCAAGAAGTGGTTTGTATCTACAAGCACAGAAGTTGCTCTTTCAACGTTCACATTTGGGCTATGTCTTTTAAAAACAATATAAGCGTGAACCGTAGTGTGGTTCAAGGGGGTAAACGAAGTACATACTGTGACATTGAGCGCGTGTAAATTATACTTCTGTGTAATCATACAACTCACATTTGAACAATTGACATAACTCGCATAACCCATTTGTGTAATTGTGCAAATCTTAGAGGCACCAAGGCATTGGTACAACTGTAGACGATAAGATTTCCAAACTGAGCGTGGCCTTTGGCCTCGTGTCGAGCAGTATAAAGAAAGTTTGACTAATGGATATTATATCATTGACATGTAGTATTAGTTTAGATACAATGAGATGTCACTCCTGAAATAGCAAAGCAAAGTGAGCACTTGATTACTGAGGCGGCTCTCAGTCTTGCTCCTGGGTGGAGTGCACGACTTCAATCTCTGAGCATTGTAAAACACAGTATTTTGCGTAAAACTTTCTAGGTCATACTTTGAGTCGCAACCTAATCCCGTTACATTGATTGCTGTGTTGAAAGTCGTAGTAGCTTTTCCCAGTACTTGCTTAGTTATTTATGTGATGAACATGCAGAAAATAATACAGTGAATGATAGCTCACAACTTTCGATGGATCCAGCGTGGGATTTAGCAATAATTTGGATTAGAATATAAGAAATCAAATTTCACTCAAAAGTTCAATCGAATTGAGAAAACGCACGATATGCTATGAGTTATCTTGGACATGGATCTTGCAATGCGGTGGGAATAAATGGACACGTGTACTAAGGTTGTGTTTGAAGACGAGCAACAGACTGCACGAAGCCTTTATCGGTAATCACAGAGAGTGAAACTATCAAAGTCATTTCGTTTAACGACAGGAGATGGAAAGTGCTTGCATGTGCATAGGTAACAGACGACCAGGCAAATTTGAACGGATTCACTAAAATTAGTAATGATAACCCAAGGAGATCCATAAAGTCTAAGCCTGACTATTGATTAATCGCATTAAGAATTCTAACCCATACATCATCAATATTTGCCAGTACTACAAGAAAGTTCAACATGACTTCACGGGGCTGTGGACGAGCAACTAGCATCAAGGTTGACGGTGGAATCGCTAATAAGTTGAAACAGGATATGGAAAGTCTGAAAATTAAAAATAGCTGAGCAGTAAGCAGCTTTTTTGGCCATCGAATTTTTAATTGAGCAATTTTTGGATCAAGAGGTAGATATTCTTGAAACGCGCATGTTCTGAGATCTGTAACTAGGATACATTCACCATTGGCGATGAGTGCAACAATTAGAGTTCGATTTGCAGCATACGTAGACGTGTGTATGAAGTATAAGTTTCTATCAACCCATGTGCATCAAATTTCGTCAAGTCAACAAGTCTGATGAGGGCTTGTTCTCTTGATGCGGTATTTCATGATACGAGAAACATAAGTGCAAATACAGTGAAATTGACGATCAAGATGCTATGCCAAAAGCGCGGATGAAGTTTTAGTTTAAGCAGAGATAACGATACTTAGTTTGTGCCGAACATGTGTGCTATGTCGGTGGAGACATTATGGCTAAAATATATTCACTTTTGCTGTTACCTTCTCACCAGCAGGCGTAACCTTTGGGTAAATTTCTGCCGACTGATGTCTTCGATCAATACTGACTTAATTAGTTTGCATTTATCGCCGTGAAGACATCATGCGAGGTAGTTGTCGTGCCACAATTCAATTCGAGTAACCACTAAAGTTTTCTTTATATTTTGACCACACATTCTGGTTTGCTGAGTACACTTAAGTTGATATATGAAAGGTCGGGATTTAACAATAAGCCAAGCGGCTTGTGTTGTGTGAGATGTAAGAAAGTTACTGTGGTAAAAGAGGCACTTGTGTCGAATTGCTTTCACAATTTGAAACATTTTGTACTCTCCTCTTTACCCGCGTAGTATTACTCGTTACGTGCTACGATCAACTTCCAGATAACATGCGCAAGATGTTGCAAGATGGGAAAATCACCAAATTGGTATGGTTTGTTCCGGAGGAGAAGTTATGCTCATCATCTAGCACGAATAAGCTTTATATTGAGGTCAATTATAGAGGGGTTTTAGTGCTAAAATTGAGATACTGTCCCAAGGAATCTATACATTCTTCATCCTTTGTCGAAAAATTATGACGAAGAGTTGATGAAAGATCCGCCACAAATATTACACCCGGAATAATAAGTCATCATGAGACAGATCTGATTTTCAAAATTATATATTGTGTCACATATGGGATGGTTTGACGTCGTAAATGCTTTCTTCTGTGCCACGCTCAAAATGGTTATGAGAGTAAATCTATCCACTCGAGGCCGATTTTCTACGTCAGGAAGGCTTACGACAAGTGGTGAGGAGTGCAGGCTTACAATAAGCTTAATGCGCACCGATTCATAGCAAGGACGTGCTACAGAATAGCAGTTGATTGGTCATGATCTTGAAAACGAATGCTGAGGGATTGGTTTACTACAAGATTTTAGCCTTGCATTTAAAGGGACGGATACATTTATACGATCTTAAATCTTCTAAGCAATGCTCTTCATGATTGATTGAACCTGCCACCCGAATGACCAGACCATTTAGTGATTTTCGGTCAATCGCATATTCGTCACAAGCAACAAATAGTATTCACTTCATCGCAGGCTCCAGCGAGAGCGACAACCTGCATAATATCAACACCGTGACGGCTAGCTCTTGTAGGCCGCACGGTGGATTGGGTCTTCAGATCAATGGAATCACTGACGCAAGTTTGTATTCGATCGCACATTGCAATACATTAATTTTCCACGATGTAAATAGATTGATTTCAAAAGATCACATACATGATTTGTGTAAAACAAAACGGCAAAATAAAGCTGATAAGCTACCAAATTCATTGCTACAAGCATCTCAAAAAGCTATTGCTAGGTAACAGGGCTACGAAGCGTTGATTTTGCAAATGAGCTGCTGCGAAGGAGCTCAGGGAAAATTTTTGCAACCGGGTTACACGTACCCTGGTAACAGGGTGGGGGTGTCACACGAGATGGCATGGTCCAAACAAGCATACGGTATGTGGCTAGGTGGCCAGTAGCTATGCATGTATTTAAATTTTACTAGAAATATTTAGGAAATCGTATCATTTTAAATTTGGCGGCTTTGCCGCAAATAAAAAAATAAAACTCAGTTTTGAATTTGAAACCAAAGAGTTTATTAGCCTTAGTTAAGGTACTAACTACTTTTGGAGGTAGCGGATTGCGATCCGCTACACTTGTATTGGTTT